AGTAGGAGTTGTCTGTTAAATTGGCAAGTAGATGGATGGTACTGATGTTCAAGAGAGAGACCCAAGCTAGAAATTTTGAGAGTTATTATCACAAAAGGGGAATTGACAAGATAGTGGGTATAGTAGATAAATAGAAGAGGTCCATGGACTGATCCCCAGAGCACTCTGAGAGATCAGAGAGGTAAAGAGGAACCTGTAAAAAAAAAAGAGGAAAATAAGTACAGTGTAATGTTCTAGAGGTAAAGAACATGTCTCAAGGAGGAAGAAATGATCCACTGTGTCAAATAAGATGAAGAACTGACCACTGGATTTAGCCACAGTGACCTTGGAATAGAGGAGTTTCAATGGAGCAGTATGGGTGCCAATCTGACTAGAGCAGATTCAGGGGAGAATGGAGGAACTAGAGTGTAAGTGGCCCTTTTTAGGAATTTTATCATAAAGGGGAACAGAAAAGCAGGCCATAACTTAGAGTAGAAATGAGATCTAAACAGAACATTTAAGATGGGAGAAAAAACATGGCGGTCGAAAGAACATAGGTTCTTCTCCACTCAGAGAAGGAAAACATAACTCTCTCTTCCTTAAGTGTGGGCTGCACATAGTGACTTCCTTCTAGAGTCTAATATGGAAGAGGAGAGCAGTAATTTAAAGTGTAGAAACCTGATAGACACGCCCTCAGCCATAGTTAACATTGGCAGTGGGAAGTCTAGCTACTTGCGCACCTCTGATGTGATGTCCTGAAAGCAGTACCTCACCTCTGTGGTCTGCCTCGCCAAAGTCCATAGCCTCAGTGTAATCTGGAGAAAATATCACACAAATTTCAGCCATCGGACATTTTTGTGTGTAAAATAGTAGATCAATACTGACCGGTACTCCTCAACACTGTCAAAGTTACCCCAAACTAGAAAAGTCTGAGAAACTAGCACAGCAAGAAGAGCTGGAGGGTCCATGACAACTAAATGTAATGTGGAGTCCTGGATGGGATCCTGGAGGACAGAGGGGATGTCTGCTAAAAATGAAGGAAACTGGAATAAAGTGTGGCCTTTAATAATAATGTACCAATACTGTAACAAATGTGTCACACTGCTGTGAGATGTTAATACTAAGGGAAACCGGGTGAAGAGTGTATGGGAAGGATATAGAGTCCATTCTCCAGCCTATCTTCTAAATTTTTCTGTAAATTTAAAACTGTTTTAAATGATAGTCTAAACTTTTTTTTAAGAGCATAGCCTACGGAGTCTGACCATCTAGTTAGAATCCTAATCTGTGACTTACCGGGCTATGGCTTGAGGTAAATTACTTAAATTTTCTGACAGTCAGTTACCCTGTCTATAAAATGGAAACAGGAAGAGTACCAACCTCATAGAATTTCTGTGATAAATAAGTGAGATAATCCATATAAAGTGCTTAGCACGCTATGTATGGCAAATAGTAAACACTCAGTAGATGGCGGCTATTATTCTCATTACTATTTAAACTCTGTACTGAATATTCAGGTACATGTTTAATGTGATTTTACACCTAATTTGTTTAAAGTGTTAATAATTTCTATAATTTATCTCTTTTTTTGAGAGGAAGAAAGTTGAATAGAACCCAGTCTATGTAAAAAGGTTTCCTTCTCAGTGCATCACCGAAGGGCTCCAAACAATTTAATTCGAATTCCACTCAGCTGCAAATGGAGTGAAATGAGGTGTCACCAGAGGCTCTGTACATATGTCATCATGTCTCTAAGGTAGTGTATGATAAATAACATTTTCCAATTAGAGTTCTACTTTCATTGTACAGCCATAGAAGCATCAACATCAACCAGAGAATATATATTTTTATTTTTTTATTGTTGTTCAAGTACAGTTGTCTCAATTTCCCCCCACCACTCCACCCCTCCCCATCCGTCCCCACCTCCCACCCTTGATCCCACCCCCCTCGGCTTTGTCCATGGGTTCTTTATACATGTTCCGTGATGACCCCCTTCTTTCCCCCGATATATCCTCCCCATTCCCCTCTGGTTACTGTCAGTTTGTGCTTTGTTTCAATGTCTAACCAGAGAATATATTACCTTGTGATTACACTCCTTTAAATAATAATACTTGATATAAATGATTTGAAGATTAATATGTAGAATTTGTTTAAAGGTAAAAAGAATGAAGGGTAAAATAACTGTTACATTTGAGGCTATTAAAGAAGAGAATTTTGCCTAAGCAGTGGCTCCCAAACCGAGCTGGGCATTAGACTCACCTACAGTGCTTGGCAAGAAAAACAGAAAGATGCCAGACCCTCTATGCAGACTTATTATTCTCTCAACAGCTCTAGGGCTGGAGCTTGGGCATTTGTATTATTGTGTATACCCTGATCATATCATATAAGCTGCCATACAATTTACCAGTGTCAGAGCTGCCTCTGTAAATACAGCCTGATGTTCACCACCACCAAGAGTCATTATCGGCTCAAGATTGTCTTACCTGTTACTATTCTAGTTGTTTTCTCTGTGGAATTTCGGGACACTGTCTTTTCAGGCTGTCAGCTGTCCTAGGCATAAAAGGAACTGTCTCCTCAATTCAGTTCCCCAAAAATCTCTTATTCTCCTTCTAAGGTCAAGTTTTCCTTCCCTGCTCCTCCTCCCCTCTTTCTCTTTTAGTGGCCAATAGAGAAACATCATATTTAACACAGGCAGTTGCACTCAACTACCATGAACTGAGTGAGCCAGTCTTCCTGTCTCAATGAGCCAACGATTCATAAACCAGCTGGTGCGCTCCAGGTCTCTTTTCAGAGCTATGAGGTGTGGGCTGTCACTAGGCACAACTGCCTTGCACAATGAACGGTAGCTGGAGAATCAAGGTAGATAGACATTTTAGACCCTTCCCCTATGACAGAACAAATATACAAAGGAACAATTGTCAGACTATATGTAAAAATGGATGCTTGACTCACAACATGTGTCATCCAGCCTAGGAAGTCAATTGACCATCTACAGGAACCAGTCTAGGAAGTCAAATTGGTATCTGTAGCCACTAGTCCAGGAAGCCAAACAATAACGCCTGTAGCAATTGGGCCCAAATGATCAGGACTTGATTAATCACTGACAACTTTCCTAATTTTTGACTCTGCTTCCAACTGAGAGCCAAATAGAGAAAGCCAAGCATGCGCCCCATAAACAGTCATATAGGACACCCCACTGCTAGTTAGCTTGTCTACAGCTTCCTTACGCCAGCAGCCTCCAGTCAGGGCACACATGAAGGCTTCTCTTTTTTCCTCTATAAAGGTTTTCTACTCTGCCTGCCTCAGTGTCTCTGTCAAATGAAGCAATGGTGGCCGGTTTCCTTGCTTTGAATAAACAGCCTTTGCTGTTCTCATTTTGGTGGTCTTCATTTATTCCCGCCACTAGAAAAAAGGGGCTGCATGTTTGAAATGGCTCACTGAATTGTTCTTTCATAGCAGAAGTGCCTGCACCTTAGGGAGGCTGTACGGTGTAGCAGAGAGAGCACAGTAGTACCATGACTTTGAGGACGCCATGGTTGGGAAGTATAGTGTGGCTGCGGGTAAGGGCACGGGCCTGCCATGGTTCAAGTCCTGGTTCTACCACTTCCTAGCTGGGTCAGTTTGGCAAGTTACTGAACTAATTTGTACCACAGTTTCCTCACCTATTGAAACATTGGTGATTGACATGCGCACCTGTCTCACAGGGCAATTGTAAAGGTTATATGATACAATCTATGTAAAATTTGAGTTTCTGCATTTCAGTGGAGAGAGAGAAGGAGGGATCCAGAAACACTGGGCTGAACTTACTGAAAAGCAGCAGTGGCCCGAGGCTGGTTATTAACTGTCCCTTTTAAATGAGACAAACGCTCTCCCATTTTCAAAGCCTCCACCAATGAATCCCTACCTGGCCTCATGTTACCTGTGGACTGGACTGAAAACATTTTTCTCTCACAAAGTACACGACCCAAGGAAAACAACGGGAGCGAAAACTGCCAATGCTATCATCCATTTTCAAAAGATCTGCGGGGAAGGGATCTCATCCCTCAAATGCATGCTGGAAAGGTCTGTGCTTTTCAGAAACCAAACACCCAAGTAACATTTTCTGAGGAATTAAAAATCATAATTTAAAATTATAGAACTTTTAATATATAAACAATTTTTATATAATTAGAAGCCCAATGCCACATTCCAGAAAGTGTGACTATATTCATCAACAACAATAACATTTTTTTCCCTCATAGGCCTTCTGCTATTCTTGGTAAGAAAAACAGCTATTTCAGAGACTCAAGGCTAATTAATTGTGTTTATTTTCAATTAAAATTAAATGCGACATCATGGAGTATTAAAACTAACCAAAAATTCCTGTGCTTAAAAAAAACAAAGTTCTTTGTCTGAATCATTTCTGGCGAGCACACTCAACACTTCCAAACAGGCAGTTGCTCAACTTTCCAATGACTGTATAAAATGGAGTTTTGAAGCCAACTTTCTAGATAAAAAAAAAAAAAAAAAAAAAAAAAACCCTGATTCTCTAGCAATGAACCTTCATTCCATCAAATTGGGTAAATGAGATAATTAGGAAAGTAGAGAGCCACATGAATTACAAATAGCATTTTACTTTAGCATCTCACAGGTGGTCACTTAAGAGTGCACTGAAAACCCCAGTCTAGAGTAACAGCAATGATAAGAAGGCATCACACAGACATTCTAATTTATAATATTCTGAACCAAGTTAAGGCAGGAATGGTTGATAACATCAAGTGGTTTCACGCGGGTAGCTGTTTTTCCCAAGCCTCCACTCATTTAATCTTGCAGCGGTATCCAAAGCTTCTTTTAAAGAGAAAGGGAAGCTTTTGGGAGTGTCTCGGGAGTGTGCCTTCCGAGACGAGGAAAGTGCAGCAGCACCTTGAAAACCACGCGTAGGCTGCAGAAGCCGGGTGCGCTGTGCGAGCGGCGGGTCCGACTGAGCGTGCGCGCAGAGGCCCCGCCGCCCCTCCGCGGCCGCGTCTGCCCCCGCAGGCCGCACTCACCCAGGCCGCGCCAGCCCATCGCTCCGTCGCAGCTGTCCAGGACCGCACAGAGCTCGCCCAGCAGCGTGGGCGGCAGGTCAAACAGGAGCGTGTGCACCGAGAGCGCGCCACGGGCTCCGCAGCCCCCGGGCGCCGCCGCCCAGGCCATGTTAGGCTGCCGGACACCAGGGGCCAGGAGAAGGGATGCGGCCGAGCTCAGGTCTCTCTACAAGCCCGCGAGGTGCCGTTACACAACCGCGGAAATCTTGCTTCCACGACGTCGCCCGAGACGGCAGAACATACCGAGCCCAGGCCCTGGAAGGGGCGGGCCCCACGTGACGCAAAGTGCCGCTCCCCACAGATGTCCCCGGGGACACCCGGCTGGGCCGCGGGGTCTCCCTCTCTCTGCTGATTCCTTATTGTCGGTTCAAGGTTTGTAGTTTTTTTCATTCCCTCTGCAATTGGCACGTGGCCGAAGAGACAAAGCAAACAGTGAAAGCTGGAGGAAGACCGGAACTGCAGAACTAATGGAGGGTCGGACTAGCCTGGCGTGGATGGATCTGAGACCCATCATTACTTATTTTAAAAGTGCATTTCTTTTTATCCTGTCACAAAACCGATACATTGCGGAACACTTGGAAGTCCCAGAAAAAAATGGAAAGAAGAAAATAACCACTCATAGCCCTACTCAGCTGATGGTAACCAACAATCACTCTAAAGGTTTGGGCACCTTTTCCTCCCAGCTTTCACTGAATTTAAACAGGTCAGTGTGTGTGTGTATATGAACTGATTATTTGAAAAGATGTACACAAATGCCAAGAACAGAAAAACGAGAGAACAAAGTAGAATAAAATTGTAGTAATTTTCTTCACGACGCTGCCCCTTTCTCCATACTGTATTTGTTTTTTCTATGTTCTCTGCTCTCAGGGCTTTCCTGATGAAACATCGTTTGACTACTTTGGCCTTCCTCAAAGCGCTTCACAGTACCTCCCTTTTGTTTTCAACATGGAGTTGAAGTAAAATTGACTATTGTTTTGAAATCTTCTACTGCTTGTGCTGTAACACTCCCCAGCAGGCATGATACAAATGCTACTGACAAATAAAGGAGGTGCTTCGAAAGTGATGAGAAAAGTCCCAGCCATAATGACCATAAGAGTGGACAACGACCATTAACTGAAAAAATATCAACACCTACTTGAAACCTTTCAGATTTGCAGCGTTCGGGAATGGCGCCCCCTAGAAATCAACAGTGATAACACATTATCATTTAGTATTTCCTGAATTTTTCAAGTTGCTCTCAGCTCAAGTATTACACAACAGATTTTTTGAAAATTAGTAAAGGCGATACCGTTTGAGCAAGAGTTTCTATAGCCCTTTGTTCAAATGGCTAAGATTTTATTGCCAATCTGTACATGCTTAAGAAACCCTCTGCATCTCTCAAAGGGACTACATGAATGAGGTGAGCAGCGGAGGCAGGGTGCCATTATGTATTTGGTAGCTCTTGAATTGGGAGAACAGGGCAGCCACACCCAGACACACAGAGGAGCCAGGAGGTCACTGTGGGTTAGAGAAGCAGTCAGCAAGGCCTACTTTGCCAGATTTTCTGAGTTACAAAAAAGAAAGAATTTTAGGGGAAAGCCAGATTAGTCATATGTGACATCTATATAGGGTATGTATGTGAAATCTTGTATTGTCATGGTGGATAGTTAGTACTGACTGTGCTCCCCTCCCCCCATTCCCTAGAATTGCCTCTGAATTTTGAATTCTGTATCATCAGATTGTATTACTCGCTCCTCTTCACTGTTGCTGTCATCGTCTGTGCTCCCACCTCATTTTGTCTCCTCATTTGTAGACTATATAGCTCCTCGTTATTGTAATTCTCTTCAGTACTAATTCTATCTTAATTCTTGATGATTTAAAATATATGTAGGATTATGATCTTTCCAATATCCTGCACTGAGTTCCTTGACTCCTCTCCTCCAATGATCTTGTCCTCCACCCTATTTCAGCCACTTGTATGAACACCCATCCCCTAGCCCTTGTCAGTATCAGTAATTGATCCCATCCATGCTTTCTGTATGAATCCACCCTCTGACCACACCACCTGGCCTTGTAGTGCATTCCCTTTAGTACTCTGACCTCAACCCTTCCTTCTTACCAGAATGAATATCAATCCAAACTCTGGTCCCATCCTCTTGAGGTCCTCATTTTTCTCCTTATCCCTAACTTTACACTCATTCGTTATCATCGCTTCTTTGCATATGCTCTCCATTTTCTTGCTCCTCTGTCACTTTGCTGAACTCGCTTGGCAAATCCACCATCCTAATTAAATCTACTCTTCCAAGATTTGGGTTCGCACGCATGCACCTAAGTGTAGCTGGTGGGGAAGGAGAGGGGACCTTGTTAACTGGATTTAGTTTAAAATCAAAGCCATGACTCTCAAGTGGGTCATTATGCTGCCAGGCAGTTACACTATGTGCCTTTAGTCCATTTTCTCTTCTGGTCTCCTCCACAACTGTTTAATGCTTTCTCTTTTCTCAATTACCATCATCTTCTCCCTAATCTTCATGCTCTGCTAATGATGATCTTGAGAATATTTCTTGAGAATACTGATGCATCGGGAAAAAACTTCCACAGAATCTCACTACCACATCTACCTACCTGGCAGCATTTTTACCAACTTACACCCTCCCGGGTTTTCCACAGTTGAATTACCCTAGGCTCCTATCTAAGTCTAACCCCTTCACTTGCACACTAGGTCCTATCTCCTCTGTCCTACTCCAAGACATCAAGGACAGCAGTTCTCACTCTCTGCCATATGGTCAATTTCTCATTCTTCACTGATCAATCTCATCAGCATACAAATATAATGTTATTTCTTCTCACTTTAAGAAAAAGAGATGCTTCTTTGATACCACTTTCCTCTTCTACCAATGACCCCGTTTCTCTGCTCCCTTTTGTAGTAAAGTATTGAATATTTTTGCTATCTCCAATTTTTCTCTTCTTCTCTTAAACCCACTCTAATTAGACGACATCAGGTGTGTTCAGGGTGGTATGGATGTTGACTAAACCCACTCTAATTAGACCCCCTGCCCACCTTACTCCACTGAAGTTGCTCTCTTCGGGGTCATCTATGTCCACATCATTGCTAAATATAATAGTTTTTAGTCTTCATCTTACTTGACTTATCAGTAATTTTTGACACAATTGATCATGACCTCCTTCTTAAACACTTTCTTCATTTGTCTTTCACATTCTCAAATATTTTCACTTACTTCATTAGTCACTCTTCATCTTTCTTTGTGGCCCCTCCTCTTCTCCCTTAACTCTTAAGGTTGTAGTGCTGCAGTCCGTGGTTCTCCTCTCTATTTATGCCCACTTCCTTGGTGATCTCAACCAGTGTTGAGGCTTTAAATAATGTTTATCTACTGAGGACTACTGTGTATGCTTAACCCAGACCTTTCTTCTGAACTCCAGACTCACGTCCAAACTTGAACTCTTAATCATGCTTCCCAAATCTAATTTTACTCACATTTCCCCCTCTACATTACTCCATTCTTCCAGTTGCTCAAACCAAAAACTGTAGTCACTCTTCATAGCCCACATTCAATCCCACCAACAAATCCTACTCATTCTATTCAGACTCTGTCTAAAACCTGACACTTTTCCCCACCTCCACTGCTGCCACCTCAGGTGTGAGGCATCATTACATCTTGTCTGATTACTACAGTTGTCCCCTAACGAAAAGCAGCTTTCACTATTGCTCCCTGAAGCTTTCCTCAACACTGCATTCACTGCATCCTTTTAAATCAAGTTTGATTATGTTTCTCCTCTGCTCAAAAGCTAACAGTGGCTTCTAATTTTAGTCACCATAAAAGTCAAACTCTTTGTCTGAATTCTCTCTCCGACCCACCCCCTCTGCTCTACTCTGATATTGTTTCTTTGCTTATTCTGCTTTAGCCACACTGTCTCCTTGCTGGTCCTTGAACACACCAGGTCAATTCCCACATTAGAGCCTTTTGCATGCTATTAGGTTGCCTGGTATACTCTTTCCACATGACAAGAGGTCTATCCTAACCTCCAGCTTTAAAACTGCAGTGGTCTATGCACTGAGATTCAGGCTGGCGTGTGAATGAAGTTGGCAATGATATATGGCTTTGGGGGACGGAGTCTCATTCAGACCTCTCAGTCTTTCTCTGGGTCTGCACAGGAGCATGTGGAAGTTCTGGCCACCTCTGGAACCCTTTTACGACCACATGAAGATCATCAGTGTTAGCATGAAATGAGCCCAGGGGACAGTCTGATGGGAGAAAAAAACCTGATTTGTGATAACATCATTAAGTGGCTCACTCATCTGTGCCTGGAGACTGTCCTGCTGGTGGACTTATATGACATAAATTACTTTATTAAGCCAGTTTTTAAGCCAGGAATCCTGTTACATTCATCCAACCACATCCTAACTGATACACTGAACAGACATTTGGTAATAAATACTCCCTGATTTGTTGAGGGCCTGTAAAAGCTCTGGGAAGGAAGTGAAAGTGTTGAAAACTAGAGTTCAAACATATACAACTACATCTGTGGGATGTGAGATAGGCACGGAAACTGGATTGCAGCGAGAGGCAACTGCGACCCTAAGGGAATAAATGTCAGTGGAGAATGATTCCGACAGTGTGGTCAGAAGCAGTGTGAAGTTCTAGGTTCACCGGAGACTGCACTAGAATCCATGCAGACCCAGACCCTGCACTGTACCACCCTCCCGCATGCATGCTTTCTGGCAAGGAAAGGTCTATGCTTAAATCTCAAAACTATTTTACTATGTAACCTAACCCTTTGCCATGGAATCCTGTCCCACTGCACCCGCCCCCAATGTTGGATACTAGAAGAAGAGTTCCCAGCTGGAGAGAAGAGTGTAATGAACAGCAAATATTAACAAATGGGGATGCTGAGGAAACCCTGAAGGTCTTGGTGACAATGGCACAGATGTACAGTATTACTAGTGGCCAAGCCCCAGCAAGGCACAGGTATCAAAGCCTCAGAAATCTGAAAACAGGTGAGTCAGATAACAGCTCTTAGTATATATTAGACAAGCATCTTGGTGCCAGCTATTTAGCCAGCATTCCTAAGGACGAATGTTCAAAGGACACCCAGACATGTGGGATGTAGAGTTTCTGGTTTTGAACGTAATTTTCAAAACAGAGATCACCATCCTATCCCATCTTTGAGCCTTGCCAATCCCTGAGCCTTTCCATAGCAGGTCATAGGTGTCTCGGGGTTCAGGGAGAGGGAAAAATCAGTAATGGGATGAGAACATCTGTAGTGCACATTACTTGGTATCTTTAAAAAGTAAAACTAA